TCATTAAATAAACAAACTTATTAGATAATTAAAGCACGCTTTATTCCCTTAGGAATGATACCAAACACTTATGTTATTTACAACTTTTCAAAAATGCATTTATGATCAGCCTTTGTACTAGCTCGATCGATAGTGCGGTGTCACGCATTTACGCATTTTCTTCCATACAAAGTATGTTCGACAATTTCTATATATGGAAGAAAATGCCCCTGCAAGAAACTAGCATTTTATCCTACTTTAATTTGATGAGCTATAAAACTTACATTTTTATAATTTTTGTACAAATTTTGAAATGCGCATTTAAATGCAGTTAATTATATGTGACCTGGTCTGCGAAAAGGGAGCTTACGTGCGAAAACTAGTTTTCTGTGAAAAAGCTGTTAAAAGTAAGCAACTCGTTTCGTTTACTCGTTTTTACTCTTCTTTCTCTACATTTTTAGTACACTTCTAAGCAAGTTAGGATTTTCTGCTTTTCACCACGTGAAAAAGCATCTCATCTTCCATCCGAATCAACCAAAAAGTGAAAATTGATTTTTTGACACCTAAGCCCCCTTTCCGTAGACCAGGTCACATATGTAAAATTAGGTAAACTTCAAAAAAAATTTAAACATTAAATAAACAAAAGAAATATAGACTAAACTGGTTGAAATAAGGCGTTACTTTTATTTCTGCCACTAGTGTTATGAACTTCTTTCAGCCGCACAATTAATAGTATGTTGATTTAAGTTTTTTTTGCATCGAACTTTTTTCGACATGCCTTAAGTTACTTTATCATATATGTACACGCTAAAGTATTGCTAAATGCGTATAAATTTAATTACTGTCTTTGGTTTTGTTACTAACGAAATATTTTTGAACTTAAATAGTAGAACCCATTTGTTTACGAGTATTATTTATTATATATTAGGTCAGCTTCTCAAACTATATTGATGCAATTTTTTCATGTTAAGTTGTTGGAAAATAATGAATATCTAATTCCCGGGAATAATCCCTATGTAGTTGCAAAATACCGTCGCGCGCGAAATTTCACAGCTGTGCAATTAAATTTTTTGGAAATTTCGATTGCAATGAGCGATTAGTTCAACTGCAGAGTTAGTTTACCTGTTCAGGAAGCAGATGAAGGGAGCATTGCCGCTCAAATAGCTAATAAACATTTGTTTACTATGATGCTAGCAATGCCGCTTAAATACACATGTAAATGTTTAGATGTGAATGCACAATTGCATGTACTACGTGCATACTTATAAGCAAATTTGCATTATTGCCTTCAAGCAGGGTACCATTTGCGGTCACTCATTCTGAATGCTACGGGATTGGCAGGCGTTTCACTAATTAATTTCGTTGCAGTATGCCACATTTACGATTGCCGAAAAGCGTACAAAAGTACGGGTGTATAAATGCTCCATGTATTGGCTGCCAGTGAAATTTTTGCATGGGCACCACCGCCTCTCGCATTCAACGAATTTATATGATGTACATATGTATGTGCATTCATAGACACATATGTATGTACCAATGCATGAACCTACGTTTCGCTGTTCAAGTTCGCTGTCTTTTCTCTGCCCGTCACTGCAAATTGCACCCGTCAGCTGTATCGTGGCAATTAAAAGTTGTTGCCTGTAAAAGTTTTTGCTACAGTTAAATGAAAAATCAAAGGATTTTCGACGAGCTGTTTCTGGTATTGATTTGACAGCTCGAAATTTTTCCACTTGTTGTTGTCAGTTTGGCAACTACAAATTTAGAAAACTTACAAAGTTTTAAAAGCAATTTTTAAGTGCCATCGAATTTTGCGCTGAATCGAGCCGTCAAATTTTCCCGGAAACATATGAAACAAAAACAGAAGCTAGCGAATTTAAATACAATTTGTTTACCATCTCATAAGGCGGCCGCTGTGGTGTAGTGGTTAGCAGTAAGCGCTACCATTCCATGATATGCTCTTCGTTCAGCGCTTGTACATTTCAATGGGACCTGGGACTGCGGGGACAGTCTTTTATTTTTTAAAAGATTTGGTTTTCTTCCGGGCAATATCGGTGTTTCAAGCTTTGATTCCGATAGCGAGATCGAAACCGCGAAACCGATATAGTTGGCGCAAGTGTGGCGTGTGGCCCATGAAAAACTTTAAAATTTTGCTGTACCTGCTCCGGAGGAGATGGCTAAACAGAACAGTCTTAACTTCATTTGAGTTCCCGGCCATAGCGCAATAGAGGGTAACTTGCAAGGGGGCACGGTCAATTAGTTATTCCAAAATAAGGGCGTTCTGATATGCCTACGATAGCAGGATTCTGCCTGCGCTGGGAATGCCTGCTCTAGGCGATAAAAGTTTGATGGAAGGTACAATCTGTCTGACTTTTAGCCTGATTACGTCTAGGTGGGATCGAAAAAGGTTCTGATGCTTATATTCTCTGTTAAAACGGAGGATTAACATTTTTTCTGATAGGTGGACCAGGGACTGATCTATTTGAAAAAATTGTACATATGGCCCATATTTCTTGAAATTCGATACACGTATTATAGATATCTTCTATATATATAGAATAATAGCCGTTTTCGTTGTTCGGAGTTAACTCAAAAACTACTGCATAGATTTCAGTCGAATTTTCAGAGATTATACCTTACATATATGATCCTATTGAAGGCTACCAGAAAACTCGGTAGGTGGCACGGGAGTCGAGTTATTTATAAAAGTCGTATTTATGAACCGATTTCTTTCAAATTCAAAAGGTGTAGTTTCAGCATAATGGAAAATACGTTTACCAAAAACGGAGCCTCTAGGTGGCGCGGGAGGCGAATTATTTATAAAAGTTGTATTTACGAACCTATGTATTTTGTTAATACACATTCGAAACGTTTATTACTTTCATGATGATTTTTTTTCATTCGAAACATATTCAGCCTTATCATGAGTTTCATCTTCCCTAAACCGGTTCACTTTTCGCTTTTGGTTTCCATGTACTTACATATATAAAATGATAGCCATTTCATTTTTTCGGACTAAACTCAAAAACCACTCAATAGAGCCCAGTCAAATTGTCGGAGGTCCTATTATAGGCTACTAGAAAACACGCTGGTGGCGCTGGAGTAGAGTTACTTATAAAAGTCGAATTTATGATGAAAAATTCCTTTGATAAAAATGGACCCGCTAGAGTTTAGGTAATTAGAGAATCCGTTTTTTTTTTATAAAAGATGATTGGAATTCACAATTCGTATTCATTTCATGACAAGCAAAGGTTTTGCAGACCCAATGGATGACGCTGCACCCGAAATATATAGAAACCCCACAGGGTTTGTTTATTTTAGACGAACTTATTTTTCAGATGGCTGTATAAGCATGATCTTCCATCTATCTCTGATTGACGAAGTTGCTCGAGGCGGCCGTTATTACAGCAGTAAGACTCAAAGAAACCAATTCATAAATATTTAAGACGAATTCTGAAAGTGGCGAATTGACAAGGAAAGATTCTACCACATATGTCCAAAAAGGAACACGATAGGTATATCAATGGCTTCAGTTGAACGAGATTCATGATATCCCACGACTCATTTAGCCAATGTACGCGAAAACTTTCCATCCTGTGGGGCAGCGAGCATTCTTGGCCTTCCTATAATTGAGAACGCTCATCTGTGCTCTTGAGTTTCCGTATAAGGACTTACATGGTACACCGGACCAATGCTGAAGTTGCAGGCTCATAAAAGAATATTACGCACATTTGGCAGAGATCTCAGAGGTGGAAATAAGACCATCGGTAAAACGCATTACATCGAAAGGGATTAGTATTCCATATGGAATCATAGTGCTAGTATTCTTGGCATATGTGTGAGGAGGATTCCGTTTTTTAGTCGTTTCAATTTAAATTAAAAATGTTTACTTTACAGACTGCTTTTGTTTTTGAACCCTATTTTTGAATTAGCCACCGCAAAAGATCTTATTAGGCGCCACGAAGCAAGCGGGCATTTGCTAGTATGTACATAGAATAGAATTAAATGATTGTTTTACAGTTGGGAAGGTGTTTTAAGGCGCCGCAAAGCAATCGGTTATTGGCTATTTACGTATACTTATTATCTATATCATTTATATAAAGGGAAGTCCCGTTTTGATGTTTTAAGTTTTTTTAATGTGATAAATTTTTTCGCCTCAGTTTAAAACTCGGAGCGATAAAAAATGAAAATGATGCCATTAACACAAATAAACTATTTTATATATCGTCTCCTGAAATGCAAAAGGACGTAACATCATCATAGATGAAATGGAAAAAGTCGTGACTAATATTGTAATTTTTTTTCATAAAATGATGTGGGGAGTTGTAATTCGATGAAATCCAACATATAAATCAAAAAGTGAATTTTGAATTTTTTATTAGTTATGACTTTTTGCATTTCAACGATGATGTTTGTTACGTCTTTTTGGATTTCAGGCGACGTCATACTCCACGTGCAAAGTTATGAGTGAGCAGTAATCAAGTATTTTTTTTTGGATCCGACAGACGAAAACTAGGTCCTAGGTACCTCTAGAAAGTACTTACCAAATCTGAGCTCCTAATATTAACGGGAAGATTATGCTCATCATAGTTTTCCATATTCATTTTAGTCTCATATAAAAATGGTCATATCTTATCACCAATAGATCGTTAAACCAGTTGCATCGTCAATATTTATAGGAAATTGAACGCTCTACAAAAATGGTCTCTTATACTCTTTTCATTAATCTAACATTTAAAAAATATTTACTACTGCGAATATCTTCTAAATGGTTAGAGTAATTCCCTATCGAAATAATTGAAACTCAATTGACAATAATTATTTTTTTGTAAGTTACAAAATTCAAAACAAAAAGTTATTTTCCTTAAAATACTTCAATCTTTTACGTTGAATATCTTTCAGCGATACAAAGGTCTGGCAGCAATAAAGAAGTATCACATTCATATTACTTATTCACTCCTCTATCTATCATAATAACGAAACATCTATCTGAACGTTAAAATTGTCTCTCTTTCTTCTTACAGACTTTAGCCACATAAAGGCATTGCGCATCCTGAACTCTGAATTAGCAGACACGCTGGGAAATCTCTTATCGCGAGCTTGTGCAAAATCGCTTAATCCGCAACAAGTTTACCCACGCCTGCATGCGGTGCAAGTCGACGATTTGCTGCGGATGGATGCAACCAAGCGGCTACAGGATGCATTGCAACAAATTGAAGGTAGCTTTACAAGAGTTTTACTGCACAACAATTCACACCGTCTTTGAGCGTAGACCCGTTAATACTTAGAGATTTTAAGTTATTTGCTTTACTTGCGCTTGCTTCCTCGGCTCTTTTAGATTCTGAGCAACGAGGAGAGGAGCATTGTAATTGTGAACGTATTTGTCGGTTGCTTTAACGTCGCGACGTTCCTCAGCCACAACGTAAAAAATTGCATTTTTGCGCCTTAAGCGTTCTAATGCCGTACATACATACATATATGTTGGCAAGTGAGTGTAGCGTGGCGCTATAAAATAAATATATTTACAAACGAGCTTAAACTATAAAACAAACAGCTGCCGCGCTTGGTAGTTGCTCCTGCTCGTTTATTTTCATGAGTTCTATTTTAGCTTTCTTGGCTTGGTTTTTCATCTTTCACATCGTTTGCTAGTCACTACATATACACATCTATCTTTTAACGATGATTAGCAAAGTTTTGAATGCTCACAACTTTCATAACTATGCGATAGTTTTGCTTTATTCGATATTTTCGCTAAATTAATTTGGAATTTTTAGTGAACTTTTTTCGGCGATTTTTGCCAAGTTTTCTTTACTGTAATGGAAAACCATAAACCTAAGCACTCTGATAAGCATTTTATGTACGTAAAGAAGTTGTGTATACATGATTTAAATGTTGAGAAATTTGCTTTTCATTTATAATTTCAGTTGAAGTTTCTCTAGTTCCATGAAAGGCTTCCTCCACTTACCTTCCAGACGCCTTTCATTGTAAAGGTTTTTCGTTGTTTTGCCCCGCTGGTAAAACTTTAGCCATAAATAGTAGCATAACGCCTTTATCAGATGTATTAGCGCATTTATTACAGCGAACTTTTCCTCGAAAAAATTCCGATTTCAAAAATCTTAAGCGCTAAGTTAAAAAACCTTTAGCCTTGATCATATTTGGGGCTTAACCCCTGTAACTGTTTATATTTAAGCAGACCAAGTACAGGTCAGGAAATGATTAAGAACACTCAGCTCATGTAGCATTCTTTATTTTGAAAGTCTCCGAATCACAATGCAAAAGTCTTTTCAGTTTTATCTTGTTTTACCAGAGTATTGAGCTTCTTTGTTTGTCTTTGACAAAAATATCTTTCTTTTAAGAATTTGATTTAATTAAGCTTTTTTGTTTATTTAGAAATTTGTACTTCGTTACACTATATAACAAAATTAATCTTTCTTTTTTGTCTGTTCTTTTGTAAGGCGACCAGCAGTGAAATCTTTCTTTTTGCCATACCCACTAACATCATTTTTTATCACCCATTATTACCATTAAACACTTTATCAGTTTTGATTTATTTCTGGCGTTCATGTTGAATTTTATGCATTGGTGTATTCCGACTAGAATTTAGTTATTTATGTTGTGGTGAATGTTAAAGTACGGGTTACTTAAGTATTTTGAAAATTACCAAGTACCGATAACGCAAGTAGTATGAAGTACACTGTATGAAAAGTTCCCTACTATAATTTTTTTATTGGTACCAATTTGATCTAAATTTACTGGGCTATGAACTTTAAAGTAAGCATAAATTCCAGTTAATCGAATAATAAAGTTATTTGTTTTATGCAGTGTTGCCAGGCCATTGAAGTGAGAAATCATCATTTTGGCTTTAAAAAATCGCCATTTGCATGTAAAAATCGTCGGCATTTACAAAATTTTAATGAATATAGCCAGGGAGCTCTTTTGTTTTTTTTTGTTGTTCTAGCTTCTGATTGCTATAGGTAAAAAATAAAAAGTTGAACTTTTTTACAAATTTTTAAAATACGCATTACTTTTAACAAAGATTTGTTTAATTGCAATAAAATCACATTTACACCTTAATTTTTATTTTTTTTTTCAAACTGCAACTTAACAATGTGCATTAAAAACTGTTCATACTTACAAGTTTTGATAAATTACTTATTCATATTCGCTCAATAAAATATGTACCAGTACACAACGTCACAACGCAAAAATTACGAATTTGACCGCCAAAAAAAGTACTTATCGATAACTACTATTAGTGATATAATTTCGATACCACAATTATGTATTAGCAGGAGTGGTAAACTCTCAATAAGTGTTTGCACTGCAATTTTTAGTTGTCTGCATACCTATATTCAAAATTGAGAACCTGCCAAATTTGCACATAAAGAAAAACCGTCATTGGGTTACAAAAATCGTCAAATCGTCATGGCAGTAAAAAACCTTCAAAATGACCAAATCGTCAACCTGGCAACACTTCTTTTCCTATTTGATTTTGTTACACAAAGGCGATTTTACTTCTATGAAAAGTGGTTTTTCTTGGCAGAAATACACTTGAAGGTTTGCCATTACCTGCCAAGGGCCGACCGCTATTAGAAAAACCTTTTTCTTTTCTTCTGTGTTTGATATTAGTCAGAACCTGGGCTCGACCCCATGCCCTGCGGAAGGATGCTGCACACTTTTAACCACTATACCCCAGCGGTAGCCGTCAGCGAAAAAATTATTAAAAATCAACCACTTGAACCTTGCACTTTATTAAAACTATAATTCGAAGGGCTATAAAACTGCTTAAAAAAAATTCTGAATAAAAAGTTTGATATTTTGGTGAAAATTTGTTGAATTTTTATATTTTTTGTAGAAGGTTTGAATTGTGGATTTGTATGGTTGTTGTTGTATAACTAGCATTACAATTAGTACATTACATTAGTATTAAACATTAAATAATCTAAAGAAATATGTGTAGCCAAAACTGGTCCGAATAAGGCGAGTCCATTATTTCTTCCACCAGTATAAGGAAAAAAACGGTGCTCCATCTCTAGCAATTAGTGGAAACTGAAAATTTAGTACACTATACCTCTTTCTCTGCAAACAGCAATGAAGCCATTAATTCATGGAAAATAGATATTTTCCCCATTTCAGTCGTCATAGTCTCAATAAAAAGTGCACTTTTACACCATTAGCACATAATTTCACACGTACATTAGTGAGTTCATAGATAGCTCCATTTTTAATTTTTTTTTAAGTCCTCATTTCTTATTCATAAACTGTCAACTTTATGCTTATTATTTATTTTCAGCACGTTGCGCCCAACATTACGCAGATAATAATTTCTATCTTGTGGTAGACACAGTAATATCCACTTTGCATGCGGCCAATAACTTCTTTGAAACGTCACGTCCGTGGGAGTTGAAGCGCCCAGCGGCTGTTGTAACCACCGGCAATGATGCTGTGGATGCTGCTAATACGCAGAATATTGAAAATTTCGAACGCTTGGAAACGATAATCGCCATGACAATGGACACGTTGCGCATCTGTGGCATTGTGTTGCAACCGATTGTGCCGCAGCTGTGTGGCAAGTTGCTAGATAAATTGGCGGTGCCGCAAGAGCAACGGTTATGGCGTAATTTAGACGATTGCTTTGCTACGAAGTCGTCTTATGAAAATGTAGCAAGGCCACTTGATGTGCACACAGATGCAGTGCTATTTCGGCGCATTCTGCTTAAGGAGGGGCATTTGGAGGCGGGTCAGCCGATTAAGTCACCGTCAGTGCCGCAAACAAAGGAGAAGATGAAACAAAAACAAAAGGAGAAGACGGCAAGGAGCAAGAAAGCGGCACAGTAACTCGGAGTAGTAGTACAAACTTCGGAGATGGGAGATCGGCTGCCAGTTGCTTACAAATATTACCGCAATGACAATAAAAAAAAAAGTCTCTACAATCGAGCAGGTATCTGATTCTACGGTGTAACTTGGTGGCCGCAAGTGCTAGTATGCTAGCATTGGTATTCAGTGTGTGCTGCAATGAAGTCATTTAAATTTGTTACAATTTCTTTAGCTTCCTGTCGGCATCCGCTACGTGCCGCCATCCGCGCGCAGAGCCTCTTCATATAATGTTTCACATGCAACCTAGACGTTCATCCTTATTTCGCCATTTCTCTTCGCATTTCTTCTGTTATCCTTCGTCTTCGTCTTCTGGTGTTCAGCACGTAGCGACAGTAAATTGTTTTAATAGTTGAGCGACCAGACTGCAAGCGATTACTTCAGGTCATCTCCGTGCTCTTCGCTTGTTTCTTGATATATGCACATGCATACATACATAGATCGCCAAATAATATATGTATACTTTTTCATTGTTTACTCAAGTGATTTTTGTTATCATTAATTTCGTTTATTCGCTTTTAAGTTTCTTCTTTTATAAGATGAGACTGTCATACAATATAGTGAAAGTGCTGATATCATAAAGTTGTACTATTAAATGATTTTAAGAATTCATTGCTATTAAAAATTCAAATACTACATTGATGTTGTTTTAATTAATTTGACCTTTTCGTGTTTTTTAATGAACTGGAAACTGCAAAGTCAACGTTTAGTTCATTACTAGTATGGATAATAGTATTAAAAAAGTTATTTGGTGGAGTAAGTTAAGTGATTTGCTGTGAAATAGGTATTTCACCTCAATTGAACTTTTATAAGTATGAGTTGTCGATTTAAACGAATATCTTTTGTATTATTATAGCCAATTTCACTTCTTTGCACTTCAAAAGGGACAAACAAAATCCGAATTTAATTTTTCCATATAAAAAATAAATTCGGATTTTCAATTTCTTTTCAAGTGGATGAAAGTGTATGTATTAGGGCTGTGCGATTATTCGATTACTCGAGCAAGTTGGTTAATCAGTTATTCGGTTAATCAATTACTCGAGTAATCAAGATTTTGATTACTCAAAACGATGATTAATCGAGTTACTTGAAATATGATTACTCAAAAAAATTAATTTTGCTCGTTAAAAGAGTTTGCTTTGGAAAATGCTTATTTTCTTTTTTTTATTCTGTATATGAAAAAAATATGTATGTATGTATGTATTTCATTTTAATTTTTGAAAACAGAAAGGTTTTTTTTTAAAGTATCAAGGACCCACTGGGAAAATAGGTAAGCACCTTGCGAGGTAAGCCATGTTTTCTTTCAGTTTTTAGTACCAAAATTGTCATCATGGCCAATGTCATCTACTAGTAAAGGGCAAAATGAACACCTCCGAAGACACATTACGTTGTCAGTTGCAAAATAACGTGCAGCCGAAGTTATTTCCAAGCACCGAACTACTCCGAGCGACTGCTCTGCATTACACGTAACTTACTTTGTAAAGCGGCTCAGAAGTATGTCTGATACCAAATGTACATTCTAAATTCCAACTTACATAAGGCGGCCATGCCTTTGTAAAAGTAAGGGACGTTCGGCAGGGAAATGGTAATGACTGCCAGTTGTTGTAAGTTGCTAATAAGGTATTATTACGTGCTCCTAATTCCCACTGGGGAACTTCAACTGCTTTATATGTATGTATGTAAAGAGTACTTTGAAATGTTGATTACTCATTTTATTCATAATGTTGATTAATCATAAAGCAAATTACTCAAATATTTTTGTTTTTGGTTAATCAAAATCTTGATTACTCGAGTAACTGAACTTTTGAGTAATCATAATTTCCAATTAATCGAATAACTGAGTTATTTACTTTATGATTAATTAAAATTTTGAATAATCAATTAATCGCACAGCCCTAGTATGTATATAAATAAATATAATTCAGACGCATTAATTAATAAGTTTATTTATTATTATAAGAAGTTCTTTTCGATGCACTCAAATTAAAAAAAATGTATAAAATCTTTTTAATTTACAAAGTAAGCAGCTGTAATCTGTTTTTTTCCAATAGGCATAAACTGCAGTGGAAATGAAATATTAAACACCTTTTAAATGTTTCTAAATCTCTGAGTGTTTTATGCTTTAAAAATATTTGTGAATTGTTATACATAGTCGGAAAGCATTGAAAAGGACAACCACAGCTGTAAATGGTTCATCTTCGTTATCTAAACACTCTGTCGATGGTGGTATAAATTTTTTGAACGCGGCAGAGACATCATGAATTTTTATGAGTTTGTCATAAAAGAAGAGGAGGAACTCATCTTTCGGTCGAAAAATATAAATAGATCTAAGCTAGCCACAATCGCAAACGTGATGTAGTTCAGCCGTCGCCAAAATAATTATCTACATACGTAAAAAAAAAAAATTTCCAATTTGTTAGAATATTATGCTCATACAAATTTGGTAATTTTTTTCTGAGTTTGGTAATTTTTTTAGAGATTCGGTAAAATATTAAAAAATCTTTGTGGCAACACTGAATATAAATAAGTATGCCTACTTTTAAATGATGCGATGGAGGGAGAATTTGTGGATTTGAGGAGGTGGAATAAACCTAACTTATTTTCAGCTATAACTTAAAGATGAGACATAATAATAAAACACTGGTTTACAGCAAAAATTTTCTATAAATGCCACTATCTAGTTCCTATGTATAATTGCTCGGTGATTTTGAAAATGGAGACATTTTTTTTTCTATGGATAACTTTTCGAGATATTTGCAAGTTACCGTTATTCAGCGTAAATAAATAGTGGTTTGATTAATGTGGAATGATTAATTAATTTCTTAGAAAGTATCAGGGCTACCGAAAAGTGATGTATATTCGGTTTATGGAGAATTTTATTATATACCTGATTAAGTGGAACCATTCTTAATTTTAAGCTGAATAACGGTAAATTGCAAATATCTTAAAAACGTATCCATACAAAACAAAAACAAAATTACGAACACCAAATTCCAGTTTTGAACCACTGTGCAGCAGGGAGTTTATGGTTTTCTTTCAGTGGAACTGGAAACTCAGCGCGCAACACGATCCTGCTTTATACATTGTACAAAGATTACCGATTAAATAGAAACTCTTAAGTGGGGGCGAAACAAACTGGCGAAGATTTTATTATATTTTGTAAGTGACATTTTTATTTTTCATATTCTGTGTTTAAATATTTACATATGAAAAATGCAGAGCTGATTTAAAGGACAGTGGGTTAGTGGTAAGCAGTGCGTGCTTTCACTCATCAGCAACGGAGGAGAAGCTCGGCCAAACACCAACATATGTGTAAGTCGGTGTCGGTTTGTACGTGATATTTTCGATCAATTAATTACAGTTTCGGCAAAAGAGTTAAAACTTTAACCCCCCTTAAAAAAAAAGAAACCCTCTGTACTGTATTCGGCAGAGTTTGTGACCTTTTGACCTTGTATGCACAGGACAAATCCAGCATCAATTAATTCATCGCCAAACATATAAATAAAATTAAAAGTTAATGGTTTGTAACCAGATTTATTTAATATAATGATTAACTCTGCTGCGATTTCATTTAATCAAATTAACTAATTGATTAAAAAAAATCAATCTATCGGTAGCAACACTGAGATGATACAATGTTTAATTTAAGCAAAAAAAAAAAAAAAAGAACCGTAGCTTTGACCGATCAGCTTTTTTCTACTGAAACGGTATTTTATTGCCATTACCTACGGAGTAAAATCGTTGGTACTTAAGCATTTGTGTGTATGCAACTGCATGGAAATTAATTAGAAATGCATTAACGCTGTACACTTGCATTCATTGTGTCACTTTTCATTCTCGTTTCGTAACTTTAACAATTACAATGAATTGCTGATTCTAAAAGGCGAGAGTTCGCAAAGTTAACAGCTGCTTAACCTACTGCACTTGAATTTACTATTCCCCCGCTACTTACATTAGCATTACTCAGTAAAATAGAAGCCACTTGTGATGGTGATATTGTCTACCAGATATGGCACCTCGCCAAACCGATTGCGTAGCAAAAGACCAGAAAAATCGTAGTAAAAAATAAAAAATCGTAGCAAAGATAAAAATTGGTTACTATTTTAAATTCATATGCATATTTAATGTTTTAAAACATAAAGATAACATTTAAATTTCAATAACATTTGTACTGTTTTAAGTAACAAATCATTATATTTGATTAATCTACAGTGGCGTTTTCCAAATACCGAACTTATAGAACTTAAAACATTTTGTCACCTACCCCAGCACTATCGTCATATATAAGTTAAAACTTACTTTATTTGAGAATATCGGTAGTTTGATTTCTATGGAATATTGCGATAAGGCGAACTTAACCTTTCGCCTCTGTTGAGCCGCTTTTTGTCTGTGGCGATGAATCCATCGTGGAAGTAGTAGTTCGTCACGCAGTCATTGTTACCTCTTTGCGCAACTTCGTATCCCTCTCGCACATTAAATCTTTCTGTCTGTTATGCAAAAATTTTACCGGTGGTTGCAGATGTTTTTGGTCAAACGTTTCCTGCACGACTTGCAGTAAGAGGGTGGATTTAGATCTTAAAGCCATGGCCTGTTTACCACATTTTTGAAGTTATAGCGATTTACAAATAGTTGCTGCCCATAGGTTGAATGACATATCAAAAGCGTAGTAAAAATAGAATAAAGCGTAGTGGGGTAGCAATTTTTAGGATTTATGAAAAGTCGTATCAAATTTACTACGATCGTATCAAAGTTCCACCGCTGTTGTCTGCTTACTCTTAACTGCATAGACGATGACAGATGACAAAGTGTGGTATACATACAGGTCTCCAGGTGTATGCAAATGCGAGCGCTTTTCATTGACATATGTTTTTTTTTTATGTATGTGCATTAGGGTGGTCCAAAAAAAAGTAAAGTCGGAAATTTAATGATCTCACCCCCTAGGATTGTTCTATACCGAAAAAAAGTATACCCCTGTTTTTTTATTTTAAAATCAAAATATATTTAGAGGTCGCTCAAAGCGCTCAAAGTTTCCCATGTATTTTGTATGGGGGAAAAAAGACTTTTCGTAGAAATGGCATAGAATCCATGGAAATCAAATTTTTCTTCAGAAGACTTCAGAGAATAATGCCCAATTGTTTATTTAAAAATTTTTTAATTTTAACTATTTTTTAAGGGTTTCCGAAATATCCCAAAAAAATCAAATATACAAACAGAAATACACAAAAGAAAAAAAGAAAAAATAGTTTAAATTAAAAACCGTTTAAACAAACAATTGGGCATTATTCTCTGAAGTCCTTTGAAGAGAAGCAGAGTTTTCAGATTGAAAAATTTTTATTTCCATGGATTCTATGCCATTTCTACGAAAAGTATTTTTTTCCCCATACAAAATACATGGGAAACTTTGAGCGCTTTGAGCGACCTCTAAATATATTTTGATTTTAAAATAAGAAAACAGGGATATACTGTTTTCGGTATAGAACAATCCTAGGGGATGAGAGCATTAAATTTCCGATTTTACTTTTCTCCCATACATTTTTGGACCACCCTAATGTGCATACATTGCTGCAATTTTCCGTGGCGGCA